TCTAGATATCATGTTGAATATAGAAGAAATAGAGTTTGAGATTAATCTCCCTTGTGTATAAATCACACATAGGGTAGTCTATTTATAATAGAGAGATACAACTAAAAGAGTAACTGAAAGTAACAGAATAAACAGAAGATATTGTTTGATATTGTGATTAACAATATCTAAAAATATCTTAACAATATCAAATAATATCTAAACAATATCTAACAGAAATATTAATCATAAATCTTCACAAATTTCAAGTGTCAATTATTTAAACTCAACTTCTACACTTGAGCAAGAGACAACATCTTTCTTTTCTTCTTAATGTAATAAGATTGTCACCAACAAATAAAAAGTAATCCAATGTTAATCATTTATCTTTCAATGATCTAGCACAATCAACATCAATATGTACATCTATTTGTTGATAATTTGTATTTTTTGTGAATAATAACATTTTTCAGGTGTTGACTTTAAATATCTTAAAATGTGCATAATTGCATTCATATGCTGCTTTCTAGGATGATGTATAAATTGACTTATAACACTTAATGCATAGATAATGTCGCATCTTGTATATGTCCAGTACATCAATCTCCCTACAAGCCTTTGGTATCTGTGTTTATTAATTGGGACTTGATTTGATGTATTAGATAACTTCAAACCTTTCTCCATTAGTGTATTCGCTGGCTAATAAGTTGGCATACTTATTTCTTGTAACAAGTCTATGACATATTTTCTTTAAGACAAAAAAATTCTTTATTGGATCTAGGTACTTCAATCCTTATAAAATATTTCATTTCAAACTCTTGATAAATACTTTTATAATGTTCTACTTTTCCCTTAATCATTTCATGTAACAATCATATCATTTACATATACAATAAGTGTAGTTATCTTACCTTTTTAGTTTATTCAAAAATAAAGTACAATCTGAATTATTTTAATGATATTCAAATGTTGTCATAGATTTTGTAAATCTTTCAAACCATGCTTGTGGAGATTATTTTAACCCATATAAAGATTTTTTTTTTTAATTTGGATACTTTTAAAAAAAAATTCAAATGTCATGCAACTTGATAAGAGTTTCATGTACATGTCTTCAGTTAATTCCTCATGTAAAAATGCATTTTTTACATCAAGTTGCTTTAATTTTCAATTTAGATTTGTTATAAAAGCGAATGTCTTTGTATAATCAACCTCATATATCTAGATATATCTTTTTGTAACTAGTCTTGCTTTGTTTCTATTGTACCATATGCATTGTATTTAATAGTGTAAATCCACTAGCATCCTATTAATTTCTTTTCTGGTAGACAATTAACTAAATTCCAAGTATCATTATTTTGAAATGAGTTCATCTCCTCATTCATAGCGGTCTTCCATCTTGGATCAGCTAAAGCTTTCTACATATTTTATTTATTTATAACACTCTATGATTATATCGATAATGACTCATAGGACATTTAATTTTACTAGAGAATTTTCGTTTATAAGTAGGTTTAAGAATACCTTTAGTAAGACAATTTGACAATTATTTTTTGACAAAAAAAATGATTGGTAACATCTTCATTAAGAGATTCATGTGGAGTTTTAATGTTATCTCCATCAAGATATTCACGTGGAGCTTCAATGTTATTTTCAGTAATGACACAAACCAACTATATAAGATAATATGACACCATCTTCAACCAAAAACCTTAAGGAATTATGTTATGAGTTTTTCTCACCTTATAAATTACTCAACTTTCCCATTTTTACCCAATGTGAGACTTCAACTCACACTTAAATTCTCAACATTTGTTTCATCTTCTAAAGGACGATGATATAAAATTACATCACTTAGATCCAAATTATACTCTAGAGTGTGAATTTTATACTCTAAAGTATGAATTTTTTTTTTTATATTTGTTATTGGCTTTTAGAAATCAGACTCGCAAGAAAAATACATTATATCTTCATAGAAAACTACATTCGTTGTTACATGTCGCTAGCAAAATCGTGACAGGACAACAAAAATATAAATTCAAAATAAAAGAACAATGAAGTCACCGCCAATATTTATTTTAAGAAAAATATAAAAAAAAACTTTAAAAGAAAAGAAAAGTGGTATGCGAAATGAAAGTTGGATTCAAGAATCGATTTTGTGTAGGGAATATATTAACACATCGTAACATCCTTTCTAAAATAGTTACCTTTAATTAAATGTGATTTTGTGCAAGAAATATATTATCACCTCATAATTTATTTATTTTTTTACATTTTTTGCCTCGACAAAGATTATTTCTCTCCTCTCTAGGTATAATAAAAAATCATAATAACGAAATTATTTTGGTATAAAATATTTGTGAATAATTTATTTAAGTTTACCTTTTAATTTTGATTTAATTATTATCAATATTATACTAAAAATAATTTTAGATAACCAAATTTAAATTACATATAAAGATTTCAATTAATTTTTAAGTAGCTAAATTAAAAGTACATATAAAGTGGTTTAAATTAATTTTTATATAGTCAAATTAAAAATGTATCTAAATTGATTTAAATTATATAACTTTTTTAAATAGCATTGAGTTTCATATTTTTTATCCATCCTATTATTATTATTATTATTATTATTATTATTAATTTTTACTATCAAATTGAAAGTATATTTGAAGTTATTGTAATATTTTTAGTAGTAATTATTAAATTAGAAATTGTAATTATTATTACTATTAAAAATATTTAAATATATTCTAATTTATAAAATATTTTATTATTAAATAGAATCATGACAAATATTATGTATTCTAATATTATATATGTCTAACAAAATATTAAAATAAAACAGATTAAATGGACTTAATTATATAAAATTAAATATTTTACAATAAAAATGTTTTCACTTTAAATATTATTATTAAATATTTGTTGAATTATTTTTTATATTATTATTTATTAAGAATATTTTTAATTGACAAAAATAAAACAAATAGAGTAGTTTATAATTATGATCACATAAATTCAAAAAAATTATAAAAGAAATAATAAAAAAACAAAAAAATGAGTAGAGATGACAAAACTGTCAAATCTACCTTATTTTAATCTTTTGATCTCTAACCTACCAAGAATAGGACGGAAGAGGTTGACTTGTTATAGTAAAAATATAATACAGACCTCCAACTACTAATAATTATTTTTAAAATAATTTTTAAAAATATATCTTTAATTATGAATAATTTTATAATTTTATTTATTAATTAATATCTTTATTAGATAAAATGAAATAAATTATTATATTTATATATTAAAAATAATTAATTATAAATAATAATTTAAATTTAATTAATTAATTTTTTATTTTAAATTATAATATATTTATATATTTGACTAACATAATTAAAAAAATATTTTTTATTTTAATTTTAATATATAAATATTTATTTAAAGTAGACTAGCGACGAATTCGTCTTATTTCGTCCTTTGATCCACGATTAATAGATTAGACGGGGGCTGAAATGAACTAAAATACTAAAAGTATCAACTCGTCCACCATATTTTAGATAGGTTACCTAACCATTTTTGTCATTTGCATCGCAGATCCAAAGCAACAAAAATGAACACTATTTTCTCCTAAATAGGAGAAATGTGAATTCTCGTACTTGTAAGTCAAATGGAAGAAGATTGGAAAAGGAATAGTGAGGGGTTACGAAGGTGGCGTTTCGCGAGAAGATATTTTGGACCAAATCCGAATGGCTCCAATGGGAGATGATTGTAGTGGAGAGGGAGAGTTAGGTGTATTACTTTTGACTATAAATACACTGATTGTTAGTTGCTATCATCATTGGTACGAGAAACTGGTCTTGGATAAAATTTGACAGAGGAAAATTTCTTTTATCCTTTAATTTATCCTTCTGAATCCTCTATGAGATTTTTTTTATCCTTTAATTTATAGAGGAAAATTTGATAATGAGAACACCATTTACCTATTGATGAGTCTGATTGCAGGTAATAGGGTGGTTGTACCTGGTGGAGGGTGGTTGTACCTGGCGGAGGGTGGTTATACAGATGGGGAGCTGATGGAGGGCGATCATAAAGCGAGAAGAGACATGGGAATGAGTTTAGGTTGTCCCTGAATTTTTTTATTTATTTTTTTTGTTTTATATTAATATTTTGTATATTTGAACTTTTTTTGAAAATTATTTTTTTTATGAGAAAAAAAGTATTAACTAGTGTTCTCTTTAATTAAGTTTTACTATATAATTTGAATAATATTATTTTTCATATTATTAAACTAAAACATAATTAAAGATATGATACTGAATTTTTATACAAAAGTAAGAAAATTAAATTGTAAAAAAATTGGAAATTTAGCAAAAATGCATGAGTATTTTAAAGTAGTAGAGGCAATATATGTCCAGAGTCATTTGAAAACTTGTGATATGAATATGACTTAAATATTAAAACAGGACATAAGATATTTGAAAATAATGAATGCAAGAATGTAGCAGTGGATATAAGAATGACATTTTATAGTAATAAATGTAAGGATTAAACTTAAAAGGATGGAGTAGGTTTAGAAGTGGGCTCAAGAACCCAATATAAAAATCGTTAATTTGAAATGTAATGGATACAAAATCTAAAACTTGTTATGAACGTGACTTGAAAGTAAAAAATTAAGGGAGATAGGAATCCGAAGTACAGAGACAACATGGATATTTGTATAAAGGTTTCTTCTTCCTGCAACCCCCATAATCTATATCAAATGAATGAATATCTTTTACTAATTTTTGTTTGAAATCCCAGAAATTTCTTCTCTTCCGCTCCTTTACACCTCCATATCTCTTTTGCACCTCCATAGTTCCCACAATTTTGTTTCGTTGTGATTCCACCTCCACTGAAGATCGTTTTCAATCCATAAGGTGAGAAATTGCTAATATTTTATGCCTATAACTTAAAAACTAAACTGAAAGTGTATATAGGAATCTAGAATGCTGAATTCAAAACATTCAATCTAGAATGCATTTTTAAAAGAGCATTTGATTTTCTGAATCTTTGCTTCTTCCCATGCTCCACATATGGGAGTCAGCATCCAACATGTACTCCACCACCTCCTTCTTGAGGGGAGGTTCAGCTCTTCCAAGCCTCCCAGCCACAATGTTCATGGTTTGGTACCTCAAACTCTCTATTTGATTAACTGTGAAAGGGCGCAAGTAATGCATCTTTGGAAGCAAGGGTTGGCCATAAATGTAAATCATGATAGCCAATGAGAGGCTAGTGAATCTCACGGCTAGCTGAAGCTCGCCCATTTTCTTGGCACCATGTGGGTGCAAAACAAGAAGTGGATAACTGTGAGTGTATATTCTACTAGCTTCAAGTGTTTAGAGTCTAATTCTAACCTTTCCGATTTTTGTATCCCTGGTTGCAGTGCCGGTAGTGGCTTTTTCACTTCCACCTAAATGGCAATTGTGAAAAACACCAAGTGTTATTATAGAGCAAGAATCATAAACCTCCCATGTGTATTGCTCAGTCCACTTTGGACTATAAGTGTCAATAATTGTTCGAGTTCTAACCCATTTTTGCCCGTACTTGGCAACATAGTATGCATCTGTGCTACCATGGCCATCCCTCATCTTCATTAGGAGGAGTCCCTATGCTCCTAAGATGTCTACTTCAAGTACCCCAATAGACTCCTTCCATAATTGTCTAGATGTTGGTCTTTGGTCACTTGAGTACAAAGTGGACTCATCAAGACGTGGTATCCACCATCAAGGCAAATTCTTAGGCGAATCCTGCTTGAAAATTTAAGCTCATTTCTCCTATCAGCTTCCATCATTCCAAAACCAAACTTCTCAAGATTGAACCAGCGCGAATGAATTGGCATGTGGTCTAGCCGCTTCTTAAAGAGGGTCAATGGTAAGAGTATCTTCCCAAGTACTTCATCTTTTGAAGGGTGCACGCGATCCTCCACAGTGATTGTCAAATTCTCCTCAAATGGTTCAGCTGCAACAAAGACCAAATCTTCATTCCAAAATGGTGTGGTTATCCTAGTTGGACATATCTTGGTCTTCAACACTTGGCTCCCCATCTGAGCCTTGACAAAAACCTCTAGCAGTCGGTATCTGTCCCCTGGTATCACATCTTGTGCTTCGATGGCATTCACTCTGAGATACCACAATTTTTGTGACAAATAAACCTTTGATCTGACATGGAAAACTCGCTCTCCATACACAGTGGTAGCATTAGAATGCCAAGCCACTGAGAAGGCCTCATCAGCTTGAGTTCCCATCCACACTACAAGCATGATAACTGTTGAATATAGGGAAAAACTGTATAGGGTTAATTTCCCTTATGTATTTACCACACATAGGGCAGTGTATTTATAATAAAGAAAGGTATTCCTCAAAAGAGTAACAGAATACAAATAAGGTAAATAAAAAGATATTATTTGATATTGTGATTAACAATATCTAACAATATCTCAACAATATCAACTAATATCTAATCATATCTAACACTCCCCCTCAAGCTGGAGCATACAAATCGTATGTGCCTAGCTTGGTACAAAGATAATCCATCCTAGGTCCCCGTAAAGACTTAGTAAAAATATATGCTAATTGATCACATGAGTTAACGAACTCAGTCTTGATGTCTCCAGACATAATCTTTTCCCGAATAAAATGGCAGTCAATCTCAATGTGTTTAGTCCTCTCATGAAAGACAGGATTAGAGCTTATATGGAGAGCAACTTGATTGTCACACACTAGTGTCATTTGAGTGACATCTCCAAATTGTAGCTCTTTAAGCAATTGCTTGAGCCAAATAAGTTCACAGGTAGCCGAGGCCATAGCTCTATACTCTGCTTCGCACCTGGATCTTGCCACAACACTTTGTTTCTTACTTTTCCATGAGATCAAGTTACCACCAATGGAAACACAATACCCGAGATGTAGATCTTCTATCGGAGGGAGATCCTGCCTAATCGACATCCGAATAGCGAGACAACTCTTGTATGATTATGGGAGTCATACACCAAACCTTTTCCAGGAGACTTTTTGATGTACTTCAATATACGGATGACTGCATTCCAATGATCTTGACAAGGAGAATTGAGGAATTGACTCACCACACTGACTCGCAAAGGAAATGTCGTGGCGAGTAACTGTAAGATAATTTAATTTTCCAACTAATCTTCTATACTGTTCAGGATCCGACATTGGCTCCCCCGATTTGGCAAGAGTTTGGTATTAGGATCCATGGGTGTGTCAACAGGCTTTGAATTCATCAACCCAGTTTCCTCCAAAATATCCAATGCATACTTTCTTTGAGATATAACAATGCCATCGGTAGATTGTGCTACCTCAATACCCAAGAAATATCCGAGTTTGCCAAGATCTTTGGTTTGAAAATGGTGGCAAAGGTGTTGTTTCATTTGAGAGATGCCATGATGGTCACTACCTGTAAGAACAATGTCATCGACATACACTATCAAATAGATACATCCAAGCATTCGAGTGACGGTAAAAGACCGAGTGGTCTGCCTCACTTCTAGTCATGCCAAATTGTTGAACAACGCCGCTAAATTTTCCAAACCAGGCCCTAGGAGACTGTTTTAGGCCATATAAAGATTTGCGAAGACGACATACCAATCCAGAAGACTCCCCTTGAGCAACAAATCTGGGAGGTTGCTCCATATAAATCTCTTCTTGCAAATCGCCATTCAAGAAAGCATTTTTGACATCCAGTTGATAAAGAGGACATTGTTGAATAGCGGCCATGGCAATGAATAAACGAACGAAGCCATCTTTGCCACTCGGAGAGAAAGTATCACCATAATCCAACCCAAAAATTTGGGTATAGCCTTTGGCTACAAGGCGAGCTTTGAGGCGATCAATAGTACCATCAGGACCAACCTTGATAGCGAAGACCCACCTGCAACCAACAACAGATTTTCCAGATGGTAATGGGACAAGCGTCCGGGTTCCACTAGTCCGAAGAGCACCGAGTTCATCTAGCATGGCCTGACGCCAACCAGGGTGGGCTAAGGCTTCAGAGACAGATTTAGGAATAGACACAGAAGAAATAGACGAGAGACAGGTATAAAATGGTGAAGAAATTCGATAATAACTTAAAGCAGGTATAAAGTGGAGAAGGATTACGAGTAGAACGCGTACCTTTACGAAGGGAAATAGGAAGGTCGGACTCGTGGACGAAGCCGGAGGAGGCAGAGTATTTGGCACCGGGAGTGAGTCATGTGGCGTCTGTTGTGGGCGAGGTCTGCGACTATAAACCCGAAGGGGTGGTGGAGGAGGAGGGGCTAATGGTGGATGGTCCTCAACATAAGGATCAATGAGAACAGGGAATGGGAAGCTGTAGCGAGATGGAGACTCAGCAGGTAGGGAAGGGTCCTTAAAGTAAAAGGAAAACTCATTGAAGGTGACATCGGCAGACACAAAATAACGATTAAGAGAAGGAGAAAAACACTTGTATCCTTTTTGGGATCGAGTAAATCCTAAGAAAACACATTTGTGTGATCGAGGAGATAACTTATCATGACCAGGATCAAAATTGTGGACAAAACAGGTAGACCCAAAAACCTTCAGAGGTAAAGGATGGAGAGTGTCATGAGGAAATAAAATAGAATGGGGAATTTTGTTATCTAAAACCGAAGAGGGCATACGATTAATAAGATAACAGACAGTAAGAACAGCATCACCCCAAAAATGTTGAGGAACCTCACCATGAATTAAAAGAGTACGGGTTGTTTCAATAAGGTGTCTATTCTTGCGCTCGACCACCCCATTTTGTTGAGGGGTATAAGCACAGGAAGTTTGATGAAGAATGCCATGAGAAGCCATAAATTGTTTAAACGAGTTTGAAAGATATTCACGGCCATTATCACTTCAAAAAGTTTAAATAGAGACACCAAATTGATTTTTAATTTCATGATAAAAGTTTTGGAATATAGAAAACAACTCAGAACGATTTTTCATTAAAAATAACCAAGTACAACGAGAGAAATCATCAATAAAAGTAACAAAATATTGAAAACTTAAATTAGACTTAACACGACTGGGTCCCCAAATGTCAGAGTGAACTAAGGCAAAGGGGGATGAAGCACGCTGGGAAACACTACGAGAAAAGGAAGTACGACTATGTTTGCCTAACTGACAGGACTCACACACCAAATTGGACAACTCGGGATAAGCTGGGAACAAGTTGCTGTAATTTGCGCAGACTGGGGTGACCAAGCTGAGCATGAAGGAGAGAAGGAGACTCCATAACTGTGCCAACATGTGGAGAAGGTTGAAGATAATAAAGTCCATGTGACTCACATCCGGTGCCAATCACTCTTTGCGAGCTCCGGTCCTGTAGGGAAACAGAAGTTTTGGTAAAAGAGATAACACAATCAAGAGATCGAGTTAGACGGCTAATGGATAATAAGTTAAAGGGGGACCCGGGTACATACAAAACATTATCAATGGACAACGAGGGAAAAAGAGTAATCGTTCCAATACCATGAGCTAAAGTTGTAGACCCATTAGCCATTGTAACAGAGGGTAAATTATGAGAAGAAGTGAAAGAGGAAAATAAGGATTTGTTACCAGTGATGTGATCGGTGGCGCCTGAGTCAAGAACCCAAGGGCCAATAGAAGAAGAGTGAGTCAGACCAGCAAAAGATGTACCTGTGTGGGCAACAGAAGTAGTGGAACTGGAGGGCTTTCGATCCTCATACCATTGAAGAAAATCATTGAAGATAGCAGATTTGTCTGAAGGTACAGACGAAGGAGGATCCACAGCAGAGGATTGTGCGGAAGAATCAGTCTGAGCAACTGCAGCAAATCAGCGAGGATAACCATGTAAAGCATAACATTTGTCAATTTTGTGGCCTAGTTTGCCACAATGGTCACACTTGACACGCCCTTTGCCGGAGCTGACAGAGGTAACTTCAGAATTGGAAGTGGCAGCGGAAGATGCCATGGAGGAAGAGAGAGAAAAACCCTAAAACACCAAAGAGGTCCGATTGGAGCAGCGAGGACAGATCCAGAGAGAGGAGAAGGAGGCGACGCCGGCGCAAAGATCGGCGGCCTGAACGGCGGCGAGACGCGCCGCCACGCGCGGCGGAACGGGAGAAGGTGGCGCGGCTTCGGGAGGCGCGTGAGGGAGCGTGGCTGCTCCGATGACCGCGAAACTTCCACGGTGGAGGTCGCACGGAGGAGGCGAGCAAAACCCTGTGCTCGGCGGTCCGAACTGCTACTCTGGCGACGGCGGCGGCGGTGGCGACGGCGGCGGCGATGGAGGCGGCGACAGCTGCAGGTTCAGTGGCAGAGCCGAAAAAATCCCAAGAGACCTTAAGCTCTTGATACCATGTTGAATATAGGGAAAAACTGTATAGGGTTAATTTCCCTTATGTATTTACCACACATAGGGCGAGTGTATTTATAATAAAGAAAGGTACTCCTCAAAAGAGTAACAGAATACAAATAGGGTAAATAAAAAGATATTATTTGATATTGTGATTAACAATATCTAACAATATCTCAACAATATCAACTAATATCTAATCATATCTAACAATAACGTTTATGTTTATTGTATGATTTAGATATTATATTGTGATGTTTTCGTCTTAGCATGCCAAATGAGAATTATTAGAAACATATATGTCATGTATGTAATTATGTTTTTTAAGCTTATTGTTAGAACTTTGATAACAAATTTAGGGTGTATTGTATATATATATCTGCGGAGAGTAATCTTTTTAGTTGAACACTTTGATTTCATCAAAAAATAAAGATATTCTAGGATTAAAACACACATAATCAAAAATAAAGATATTCTAGGATTAAAACACACATATATTATGACTTGAGGTTCTTGGCGAGGACAAAGAAGAGGATTGGGAATTTAGGTATGAGGTTCCAGGGCCTAATTATTAAATACGGGGTTTCTTTTAAAAAAATTGCTGGAAATGCTCAAATATATGACTATTCAAAATGCTCATGTATGAGGATGCAAGACTATTTTTCGAGGTGGTATATGATATGGATATTATGGAATGCAATGTTTTCTGGATACAGCCAACAATTGGAAAATGAAAAGTTTCTCAAACTTTACAAAGATCTCCGCAGATGGTTAGGCTTGAAATCCAACGAATTCACTTTTGTTGTAGTAATCCAGTGATGAAAATGGGTCTTAATGCCAAGTGTGGAAGCATTGAAGAGTCTCATAAGATATTCAATTCCACGAATCAAAGAGACATAGCCATGCTGGAGTCACCACTTTCATACAAAGATCTTTGCAAATGGTTAGGCTTGAAATCCAACGAATTCACTTTTGCTGCAGTAATCTAGTGATAAAAATGGGTCTTAATGCCAAATGTGGAAACATTAAAGAGGCTCACAAGATATTCAGTTCCACGAACCAAAGAGACATATAGCCATGCTAAAGTCACCACTTTCAATCAATGTCGCAGTTTGTAGTTGAACTAGGATCAATATTGCAGTTTGTAGTTGAACTAGGGATTGATCATCATACTTGCATGGTTTCTCTCTTGGGCCGACCTGGTAAAATATATGAACCTAAGGAATTTATTAATAAAATGTCAATCAAAGTAGCAGTACTGCAGGGAGGAGCTTGTTCAGTGCATGTAGAGTTTCAGGTCATGTGGAATTGGGAACATATGTTGCGAAGATGGCAATTTCGTGTGATCCAATTGATAGTAGATCATATATATTACTTTCAAATATTTTTGAATCAAAAAGTAGGTGGACAGATCTCAAAAGCGTGAGGGAGAAAGAAATAACTATTTATGTAGTTTTAATGTTCAATGTGTGCTGTTGAAAGTAAGGCTTTATTGTTTGATGTTTAATGTTCAAAGTGTTCTGACACTAATCACACAACTGAATCAGTACTAGTTCAGATCAACGGGAGAATAATCTATTTAGTTTTTATTAGTTTATACATGTTCATGTTTCAACAATTATACAAGCAACAACCAAGCATCTTAATTTGTATATGTTATGTTTGGTTGTGCATATGTTCTGGTTTTAAATTTTAATTGTAGCAGAATGTAGAAATTAGAAAATAGTAATTCAATAAATTATTTCTCTATAGTAAAACATAAATGTCTAATCAATTTGCTTGAATTTTGTCTTCCACATTTGAAGACTAACATGAGTTTTAAATCTCTGGCATTTCCTTCAGTTGGTAATTAGGATTTTGTAAAGAGTTTTTTTCATCAGAATATTGGTGGAGAAGATGTTAAGGTTCTTTCTCTCTTCGTATCTTCTTTACATCTTTAACTATGGTAGGACTTGTTTGAGAAATGCAGTTTGATCTATTATTGTTCATAGACTTTTATTGAACTGTCTTTTATGGAAGTTGTACGAGGATGCACAAAAAATATTACATTTCAAACAGAAGTTCTCTATAACACTTGTGGTATGCGCATGACTCAAACATCATTTGCATGATTGTAGACCCCTAATTTTGTCCGACCTCTCAATAAAGGCTAAAGGAGACTTCCTATAAACAAGATAAAGCTTGCCCGGCATCTCAATATAGGCCAAGAAGACTTCCTATATGAAGATAAAGCTTCAATGGACGTCTATCGGCATCAATCGACGTCCGAATAAAGAAAGCAAAGCTTCCCGAGGGTCCCAGAACACAAAAGCTGGCAAAAACAGTTGAGATGGTCGTCCCAGAAGTTGGGACGGCCGTCCCACATGTCGAGACGGCCGTCCCAACTTCCAGACGGCCGTCCCAACTGGTTTTGCTGCTTGGGACGGCCGTCCCAAATCCCAGACGGCCGTCCCGACTTCCCCAGACGCTCATCCTTGATTTCCAAGCTCCAGACGGCCGTCCCAAGCTGTCAGGCTGCGAAAACTATAAATAGGAGGCTCATTTGCCACTTTTCAACACCCCAGACAACTCCAAGTACTTGTCTTCTCTTCCTACTTCGAATGAACTTTCTGATTGCCTTAAAAAGGTAACAATCAGTTAAGGAATTATATTCCAGCATTCGATTCTTCTTTAAAATTTAGTAGAGTCGATCTTGTATTCGGGGAGGAGAGTCTTTGTAGAGCGGGGGATTGCCAAAACACATCCTCACAGTTAAAGATTCGTAATACAAAGCTTGCTACGGAGGTTCTTTTCACTTCTCTTCTCTTTTACTGCTTTATTTATTGTTTTATGTATGCAATATGAAATAAAGTCATGTAGATAGCCATTTTTAATATGATATAAATAAAATAGGGTAATAGCGTAATTTCTTGTAATCTTCACTTAATGAATTAATCCGTCATAGGGAACCCGAAAGGGGCGTTGTGGGGTGCTAACACCTTCCCCACACGTAACTAACTCCCTTACCCAACTCTGGTTATAATGACCAAGTTGGTTTTTATTAAAATCAACGTCTTTTTATCCTTTTCGAATGTTTACGGTCAAAACATTGGTGGCGACTCCATAAGAACCCCTTTTCGAAAACCTTGTTTTTATTAGAGGATAGTTCAGTTGTTGAGCACCTCGGAAGCAATAAACACATTTTAACATAAAACGCGAGTCTAAACCATCTTTTCGCGACCGCTCGCATAAACGTTCGAGATGTCCCTGGACGTCGGAACGGACGGCGGCGACAGATGGCGACTTCACTGGGGATTTGATTGCTCTCCCATTTAGTGACGGATAAAATTCAAACTAAGTGAATATTTGAAATTACGCTTTTACCCTCTTCCGTATGTTTTATTGTATGGCTTTAATAACTGCTGTATGATTATTTTCTGCAAATTGTTTGAAATATAAATTGCACACAAAAACCCTTGCACACTACAGTCCCTCTATACCCGGGGGCAAGAGTGAATACCTATAGGAAGTGGGTGGCAGATACGACCGGCTTGTTGGCACACGGGGCTACAACCGTTGTCGGAAACCACCAACTCAAGGTGATAACTCTCTTCTTTTGGTCTAAGGATGTCGACACGAAGTTCCGTGCATGACCCGAGGACTGAGAGATTGAGAGGTCCCTCCCTATAATGGGAGCACCTTGGGGACCTTTGGCCTTGGTGAGAACAGTTTAGAACCACCTAAATCAAGCACGTTTCTGCAGAAAAACCCCACCTCAAAATTACCGTGGCTCTGCTCGTGGATGAATGAATTGTGTGTGCATTCGTTTGTTGCATTTGTATTGATGCATTAGCACAGGGTAATCATACAAAAAAAATAGTAAAACCCTAAAAAACCATAAAAGTGATAAGAATAAACCAACTTTATCTCGGACAGTCTTCAGTTCAGCTAGCCTGGTTTCAGGTTCTTTGTAAGCTAAGTAGCCACGTTGACCAACAGAAGAGATAAAGGGTCATAAAAAATGTAAAAACACTCAAAGCCATAAAAATGCCTTTTACAATAAAAAGGTTCTTGGCAAAGTTGTATTATTCATACCACATCATCCAATAAGTGGTAAAACTAAGAGAGAAAATAAATGCAGCATGCATGCACATCATTTTAATAAACCTCCAAAAAATGGGTCTTAGGAGCATTTTTTGGGAAAATTACTGGGCCAAATCCCCTTCGGATATTTGCAACTTGGTTCTTCACCCTTTTCTCTTCGTTTTGACATGTTGTGCGTCCAAATCGGACAACCCAGTCAAAAGTTATTCCACTTTCAATATCTGCTGTCATAAAAAAAAAAAAATTTGTAGTGCATGCATAAACACACTCATTTCAGGATGCATTAGATATCCTTAGACAATAGCGAAAGAGACCCAAGTGCGTTTATCACCTTCCTAGAAGAGATAAGTGCGCTAAGGTATGTTGGCAACCTTTGAAAAAGGGAGTTAGCACACTAAGGTGGGTATGCTACCCTTAAAACATAGGCTTTTGAGAAGATACCAAAGCTATTGTCTAAGTCATATCTATTTCACACTAATCATTTGAAATAAAAAGCTATAATAAAAATCGTTAAAATCATTTAGAAAGTGGTTGGTCTTCTACCTATTCTCACTCGCGCTCAAAAAGCCAAGAAGATGGAGCAATTAGAGGAGCAGAACCGTATGCTCACCACTGAGCTTAATGCCATAAAGAAGCAGGTGCCGCAATTAAAGGAGTGGTTAGAGAAACAAAACCACAGCCTCACCACTGAGCTTAACTTCGTAAAAGAGCAGATAGCGTATTTAATGGAACTAATACGCCAACAATGCCTCTACAATGAGGTTTCCAAACAACAAATTTCTGCCCTAGAAGAGAAATTAAGGGCATTAGAGGGACACAACTTTGATGTAAAGGAGGTAACCGACATACGCCTCGTCGAAAATACTCGATTCCCTCCCAAGTTTAAGAAATCTCACACATCATTCAGGAAGTCCTTTAGCAAAAAGAAAGAGGAGAGCATAAATGCCATCAACCTCACTACCCCTTCTTCCTCTTCACAACCATCTAGGCAGTCACACAGACAAGAGAAGAAATTCACTCCCATTCCAACCTCCTATGGAAGTCTGTTGCCAGAATTGATAAAGGACCATCTCCTAGCAAATGTCCCTCCAAAGAAGATGGATTCACCTTACCCAGAATGGTACAAACCTAATGAGAATTGTGATTACCATTCAGGCGCTCCTGGGCATTCTGTGGAGAATTGCATGGCCTTGAAGTATAAGGTCCAAGATTTGTTGAATGTCGGGTGGATTACTTTCAATACTCCCGACCCTTAAGTGGATGATCAACCTCTATCACAACCAGAATAGTGAACATGGGTAGAGAAGGCCAGCTAACTAGGGCTCCCCATTTTGTGCATCTTTTAGTTAAAAGAAATAAAAAATAATAATAAAAAGCTTCTGATGCATCTTTCGCGGTCTCTGCCCGTGGCCGCGAGATCTTTTGATTAAAGGGACTCTGTATATATTTCTCTTTTCATCAATACAATGAGGCATTTTTCATAATATTCATATGCTTCTCATTCTTTTCTCTCTCATTCCAAAATAATTGAATAAAATATAGACCCAAATAAGGACCATACATTCATGTCTGTTATTGAAAACTCTCTGCGGGATCTGAAAACCGAAGGCGAATGGATTGAGTCAGACAGTGAGGAGGGGACCATTTCCCCGGACATGCAAAGACTGTTGGAAAAATAAGCTCAATTGATACAGCCTCATCAGGAAAAAACTTAGGTCATCGATTTGGGATAAAGAGATAATAAGAAAGAAGTAAATATCAGTACCCAAATTGATAATGTCAGGGAAGGGGCAATAACACCTTTGCGCTCATTCATGCCTCGTCCTTTCCCTTATACATTGGATAAAGTTGTAATGTGGATACACGCAGAAGAATTAGCATTGGGGGCACGACGAGAAGCGAAAAAATTTATTCCCCAAGGAGCCACAAGATAATGCTCCTAAAAACAAAGGAAAAATAAAGAAACCGAAGAGGAAGAAAAAAAATCCAAGGGGAAGATTAAGTAGACCTTGGATTAACGGTGCTAGGGCAGTTTCTTCAACGCTCCACCAAAAAATCAAATTCGTGGTAGGCGACAAGTTGATCATGGTTCAAGCTAAAGACTACATTCGAATCAGTGATTCGTCCACCATACCTTAAAAGGATGCGACCGAAGAAAACATTTGAAAATATGGAAAGACTTCCTAGTAATATGAAAGTGGCCCATATAATGAAGAGATATGGATACAGCCCAGACAAGGGCTTGGAAAGGATGCTCAAAGAATAAGAGAGCCACCAGATTTTAAGGATAATCCTTTAAAGTACGACCCTCCAAAAAATCAAGTCGTACAAAGAAAAGA